TCCAGCAGTGTTCTTTCCGTTGAGGAGTGTTTTTGTGATTCGGGGTCTTTCATTGTTCCATATGAATTTTTGGATTGTCTCTTCTATTTTCTTGAAGAATGAGGTTGGAATTTTGATAAGTATTGCATTGAATTTGTAGAAAGCCTTGGGGACTATTGCCTTTTCCCCGATGTTAATCTTTCCAATCCAGGAGCATGGAGGTTTTTCCCATTTTCTAAGTTCTGTTTTGATTTCCTTTTTCAAGTTTTTAAAGTTTTCATCATAGAGGTCCTTCATTTCTTTGGTTAAGTTAATCCCTAGGTATTTTATTTTTTGTGGGGCTATTACAAATGGAGTTGCTTTCCTAATTTCAGCCCCACTTTTCTCATTGTTGGCATACAGAAAAGCCATTGATTTGGGGGGGTTAATTTTATACCCTACTACTTTGCCAAAGTTTTGAATCAGCTTGAGTGATTTGGGAGTGGAGTCTGTGGGATTCTTTAAATACAAGATCATGTCATCTGCAAAGAGGGAGAGTTTTATTTCTTCTTTCCCTATTTGGATCCCCTTTATGTCTGCATCTTGTCTTATTGCTGTAGCTACTCTGCCTTGCTTCTTATCCCTTCTCACCTTCCTCTGCTGGGTGGCTCATCTTGGTATGTAATAAGGTGGTCCATCTAACTCTTTTCAGCTCAGAGATGCAGAAGCTGAGAAAACCAGAAATTCGTGGAGCTTTTCTGAGCCTGTCAAGTTTCAGGTTGAGGGCTGGCCTCCAGAGACAGATAATCTGCCTCTCAACCCTGCCAAGTGCCTGGCCTCCTCTTCTGAAGCCTGGGTTTCTTTAGGGGTTAAGTGGAAGAGCAACTGTGCCTCCCTATAGTGACTGTAGTGATAGCCAGGTAGCCTTGGGAATGCTCTACAAAGGTTAGAGACTGAGAGTACCCAGCTCTGGGCCTCATCTGTCCCAGTTCTCTCTCTGGTTAGGTGTGGACTGGGCCTAGAGGTTCTGGAAGGTGTTGGTGAATAAAGGGTAAATGTGGTTGAGACCTTCTGCTGTCTCTTTCCCACCAGGAAGTTGGGCTTGCTCAGCATCCCCTGAGCCTTTCCAACCTGTCAGCCACACACTGAGTATGTGTGCCAAG